AGGGAGCCGGACACTCGGGGCGCGAGCGCCGCCACCTCCCCGTTCTCCAGGGTCTTGGCCGCAGCCCGCCCGGTTGGCGGCCGCAGCGCATGCGCACTGCAACGGCGGAGCAGAACCAACCGCGCCTGCGCCCCGGCGACGCGTGATCGGACTCTGCCTCCCCAGCGGAAGTGACTTCACAAGGCAGCCACACCCTCTCCTCCCCCGCGCGCCCCCTGTCGGGGGGAGGCGCGCTGCAGCTCCAGGGAACCGCCCGCGTTTCCTGGATGGGCCGGCGAGCCACACACCGCCCAGGCACCGCTGTGGTACTTCCGGCCACTGCAGCGGTGTGGGATTGGCTGCGGCCAGCCAGGACCTGCGTGCAGCCTCAGCTCTGCCTGCCCCCAGCAGCTGCCGAGCTATCTTGGGGCTCGGCCTTGGGAGGGGGTTGGACGCGGGGGAGCCCTTGGCTCAGGCCTCAGCCACCCAGGCCAGGCTATGGGCCGTGACCGTCAAGGGAGAGTCAGGTAGCAGAGGGGTAGTGGCCCCACAGAGCCCTATGGAGGTCTGGGGAAGAGAGAGGGCTTTGGCTCCATGGCAAATGCCAGTGGAACTCTGCTGCGGCAGGCAAGTCCCCTCAACCCCTTTCCAAGCTAGTGCCTCTGTAGGTGCACTAATAATAATGTCCCTGAGGCTTTGCTTCCTGTAGACTTCCTCACTGCTAGCTTCTTGCCAGCCTCCCTTACTAGGGTGACCTGAAGCACAAGGAGATGGCATCCACCTGTGACAACCAACTGTCTGCTCAGAGCTGGGTGTGGTGGGATGGTGTTACCGTTCGCTGGAGAGCTCTGTTTGAAAGACACATGATCTCACTGGGGGAATCAAGATCAGATAACAGCCAGCATCAAGGATGAAAAAAGTACAGTTGGTTCTTGGGAAAAAAGGACAGAAAAAGCAAAGCCAGAATGAAAACAAAGGCCAATAGTTCAAATAGGACAAAGTCCATGGTGGTCTGCAGGGCCGGGCAGAGAGAAGACAGACAGACAATGCTGGAGCTTAAAAGCAAGTCATTGTGCTGTGTTTCACAAGGCAAAGGTAAGGGGCCTGGGAAAGCCTAGTGACCAAAAAAGGAAGGAGAGAGGGAGAAATGTATGGAAACCTTCACTGGTCACTGGAAGCAAGGTTCAGGACCAGCTAAGGGAGGACAGCAAATACCCACAGAGATTGCTTGGAGAGAGTGTTGATACTCCATTAATCTCAAGGGCTGGTTGCACAGACACCTGTCGGGAATGGTATGCATGTTGAGAGGCTCCATTAGTGTTCACAGGAGATATTCTTGAGACACTGAGTAGTACTTCAGCAGGTAACAGATGGAGACTTTAGAAAAGAGGTGTCCTCGCCCTTCAACTCTGCCTCAGGTGTTTTTCCTCCAGGCAGATACTGCTGTCTGAATGAGTCAGACTTCTGCTTTCAGCTTGCTGGAAGAAAGATGAAAGGCTGGAATATTCACAACTCAGAGCTATTTTCTTGATCTAGCAGCCTGCCTGTGCATTCTTCAGGGACACCATCAAAGCATCAGAGAGATTATGGAGCTATTGCACTTGCTGCCTTATGATGGAAAAATCAGTCTGTTGAAGTTTAAACCTTCAGCCGCTCGCAACTTTGTGCAACACTGAGTGTAAAACTGCATCAGTGCTCTGCTCTCCAACAGATTCCATTTGAAGATGAAAGTGCCAGGATTTGTAAATACCAGTGGATGGTCTATAGCATCTCTTTCCTTCAAAGCAGCATTAAGTAATGTGAGATCACAGGGACTGTGTTCAGTTGGTTCAAACATTTAGCAAGGCCAGAGGATAGCCTGGGCCCAAGCTCTCCTTCCACCCAGAGACACCAGCACCAGTGATAGCCTTCCTCTGCTGGTTTTCAGTGCTTTTTCAGTTCATGGCAATTTCAGGTCTAGAGATGGACAGAAGAAATTAAACAATCTTGAATTTGGAAAGACTTCTTGCAAATACATATACCTACTGCCTGTATGTCAAAAGGGTATTAATGCCTACCCTGAAGTGCTGTGGCCTAAACTGAGTTGAGCTCCAGTGGTCTGACCATTCATGAATTCACAAATGCCCAGCTTGTGTTTGGCACAAACATTTAATAGCAGAATTCAAAACTCAGTATGTTCCATTTTAGTCTTATGTGGAAAATTAGTGCAGGTGATAATCTAATTTTACAACACCATGTTAAAAAACGTTTATTTTACATTATATATACATTAGGGAACATATTTCAAAGCATTACCAATCACAACAATAATGCAGGTCATAAATCACGTTTAGTTTTAGTGTATATTATCACAATAAAATATAAAGAACATATACAAAAAAAAAGGAGTAAAATGTTTGCATTTTGATAAAACTTGGCATCTGCATACTCCATTGGAAAATAGCAATCAAAAATAGGTCTGATCAAAACTGAGTTCCTGTGATGTGTAGTAACCATTATATTGTTTGAATGAGGTAGTAACTAAATTATTTGGCCATCTGGCCATGTGTTAACATCATAAATAAAGATAAGTATGAAAATGGTTGTGAGGCCAAAAAAAGGTCAAAATGGCAACATCTTTGAGCCATTTCCACAATGTGGAATGTTGCTACTTTTTATTGTGATACGAAACTACTTAGTAAGACAAACAGTAATTTTTATCATTGTGTACACTAAGAATTCAAACACGTATTGCAGTGTTACAGCCAGGTACCACTAGTCTGGGACTGATGCCCATCCAGAAAGTGCTGTTTTCAAGCACAGAGAAGTAATCATAAGAAGAGTTTTAATTAAATATAAAAATACAGGTGTTTAACTGGTTTGTTTCACAAAGAAAATTACCTAAATAAACTAAAGGAACTTTGAAGCCCAAGTCATATCCACAAAGTCACAGCTTACCTTTGTGACTAAATACATTACATCTCAATACATTGTGCAAATATGAACACCAGTGTGTTGCATCAAAATTAAAACAAGATTGTAATCTGATTACAGCCTTGGTTACAATTTCTAAAAGTTAAGATTTATTTGTATTAGTAAATTACATATAATAAAATACAATAGTGTTGTTAAATGTACTATATTTGTTGCTAGCATCCCACTTTATTATAAACACATGAGAAGTCCTTAAAATAGTACCCCTATTTAATTTTTGCATCTTTCTTGTGACTTTTACATCTGTACAAGTAAGACACTTGTACTTAACAGGAGGACCGCTATCTACAGAAAGTCAGTGTAGGTCTTCAGCAAGTTTCACTGAAAAAATACTGCATATGTACAAAGATTACATAACAGTAAACGAAGCACTTCTGTGGTATCATAATGCTTATGTGCCCATACCACAAACAACTGTTGTTTTCCTCTCATGCCACAATAAATTATAAAGTAACTGAAGTGGGGTTACTGCAGCTTTTGTGCAATTTTAGCCATCAATACTGCTGCAGCAGGAGCATTCTCTTCCCAAGGTGAGCTAGCTGCCTGCCACATGCTGATCTCAGTAACTGTTCTCATGCCCTGCCAGGATATATAAATTGCTGTTGGCTGTTGGGTTATCCGTCGGCCTACTCTCCAGTACCACGACCCTAAAATAAAAAAAGCCACAATGTCAAGTAAGCCTTCATTTAAAACACATCCCTGGATATAATTGTAAATAGTCTTTCCAACAATCCATCTGATGAGTGGTCATTTCTCTTTCCCTGGATGCTTCTAGTCCAAAAGCTGCTCAAAGCAAGGCCAACCTCAAAGCTAGCTCAGGGTGTTCTGCAGGCAAGGTGTACAAGGATCTCCCACAGCCTCTCAGCTCCTGCTGCAGTGTTCAGTCACCCTCACCATGATGTTTTCCCCTCTTTCATCAAGCTGGAATTTCCCTTGCTGCAGTGTATGCCTGTTGCCTCTTGTCCTTTCAGTGGGGGCTTCTGAAGAGTGTCCATCACTCTTCTACTGCCTGGGCTTGTGCTTCCCCAGAAGCGTTGCAAAGCTAACCAGGCTGGAAGTTGTTAGTCTGCCCTCTGCCACTGGTCATGACAGTTGACCGAAGCTGACTCTTCTGTCAGCATTTCTAGTCTTTCCCTGAGCCCATGTAACCTAAATCCACAGAAACTTCCTCCAGCTCTTGGAAGTCCCAGAGACAAAGACTTGCAGGCTGAGAGAGTCCCCAGTGAAAAGATTATTCTACACATAGCAATCTTTTACTTGATGACTATGTGCAGAATCCTCTCTTACTCTTTTCTTGCCACCTAGTTTTGTCCAGCAATGGAAAGAGAAGACTGGGTTAGCTGGACTTACACTACAGCTGCAAAGACCATAAGGAATGTCCTAGATCAGACCTTTCTCTTCAGAGGAGAGAAATTAGCAATCACAATTCTGTTTCACAAATGATTTGACATTTTTTAATCACGCAAGAACTGCAAAAGCTGCTAAATGGATCAGGATGTTCATGATGGAATTATCCGCCACAAACACCCTGAAGTGAAGGTAGATTGTGGGAAATTCAAATCCATCTATTGTACATTCATCCAAGGAGAGGCTGCTTGCTTCAAAACTATCACTAAAAACCCCCTACCCTCTACTCAAAGTGCTCCACAAAGGGAGTAACACGTCATGCCACAAGGCATTCTCTGCTCACCTGGAGAAAGCAACATGCAAGCTCTTATCAGACTGATGTCAGGTTTTTTGGCTGCTCAGAACCCCAATTCCTATGAACTGCCTAGGAAATTACATGTGTTACTGGAAAAGTGTTTCATAGCTCAAGCACAAAATATGACAAAACTGCAAGCAAAATGGTAACTGAAGAAGTTAAAATTAATGCTTATTGCAGTGCAAAGTCTTTAAACTTTGTCTCAGAGTTGGCAGACTGTTAGTGCAAGCCAGAAGTAGATGGAGCCATATTTGGGGAAGAGAACATTATTTTTCCAAGGCAA